TTTCCTTTTCAAAGAGACATGTGTTTCATAGCAGAAATATTGGTGTGGTTTACTAGTGTTAGCTTTTCTTTTCACGACTGACTTCCACATTAAATGTACTCTCTAAACAGAGCTGAGACCTGAATGGCAAGTCCTCCTGCCACGACCACCAGCACTGCAGACCTTCATCCTTGCTGCCCATTTGTACCGAGCTTCTTTAATCTAACACTTCTCGTACCAAGGCCATCTTTCTCCCATGTCATCAGCTTTCTTTTTTTTCTTTTTTGGCAGCTGGCCGGCATGGGGATCCGAACCCTCGACCTTGGTGTTAGCAACACCACGTTCTGACCCAGTTGGCTTTAGAACACAGGACTGCACAGGGAAGTTGGGCCCAGGTGGCCACCCTGTGAGCAGAACTCAGTAGGTATGAGGAGACCTCCTTAGGTGCTGGGAGGCAACAGTCCACGTCCTGGGTTTACAAGTGCCACGCCTATCTCAGTCTGCACAATCCACTAGTACTTGGCCCAATGCCTAGCGGAGTGCCCAGAACATAGGAGGAACTCTATGGGTGCCGAATGAGGAAATTAGACAGGTAGATGCAGAAACACCTTTTCCCAAATAAGTCCACTAGGAACTTAACCTCCCAATTCAAACTGGTCATTGTGGGATGGCTGGTTACTCGGTTACAGCACAGCCATATAACACCAAGGTCATGGGTTCGGATCCCTACATCTGCCAGCTGCCAAAAAAATGATCATTGATAGAAACCCCAGCTACTAAAGAAGCCCCTTGCAGTATGCTGGTGTATAAACAAGGACAGTGTGGCAGCACACAATGACAGTGCCTCAGGTCCCCACTGGCTCAGCGGGGAAGCATTCTGTCAAGTTTAACTCCTCCCTTCCCACCACAGCACTGGGCGCACAGAAGGCATAGAAGAGCTCTTCTTTAGGGGTAATTAGGACCAACAACATTTAAAAAAATACATCCTGACATTCAAGGCAAAGGATTCTATCAATGAACATTATTTTTCAGGATTGCTAACCAAAGAATAAAAAAAAAAAATCTATTTACACAGATAAGTCACTTCCCATACACTGTTTTAGCTTTGTATTTATCTAAGACATTGATCCTTAAATTAAAATTATTCTTCAGAAACAGGCCCGTTTGTAAGGCTAACTAGTAGTGATTCATGGAGCTTGTAAAAGGCACCAGGTGTAGGAGTGAACAACTCTGGCTGGAAGAGCCGTCGTTGCTCCTGAAAGGCAAGCCCGAGCTGCACTCAAAACAAGGGGTTTCTCCTAGGGAACCCAGGGATGCACACACCAGGAAAACTCTCCTCTTTACGAGCTCACCAGAGCCTTCTGGAGGATTTGGGAAGGATCCAGAAAAATCTTCAGATTCAATAAACAGCACCAGACCCAGAAAAGACATCTGCCCCATCTTGCACACGTGTGGTAGCCTGCAGCAACACACGCCAAGGCCACAAGAAAGTGGACAGGCAGACGCCCAGGCCCGGGACCACTCACTCCAGAAAGCACAGGGAGCATCTCACTTCATGCTTTCTACGTAAACTTCGATTTTGCTGCCTTTCCCCCTCTCAAACACATATCAGAGACATCTTTATAAAGAAATAAAGGCACTAACAATTTCAGAGGAGTCCTTAACAAGTAAATTTCCAGAAGTAACATCTCCTTGGTAATACTTTTAGTTTTGCCTTAAAGCAACTTTTATTGTCAATTCCATGACTCCTAATTACAATGGACATTTTTGCAAAGTTCAAGGAGAGACTGAGGTCTCTATAGGAATCAGTGTATTACGTAGCCAATTCCACTAACGTCCAGAGACATTAATGGAGCATCTATCCTGTGACTGATACTGCACTAAAAGCAGCTGATACAAAGCAGGAGTATTTTCAATACGTATTTCTATAATTATAATATATCAAATATTAAACAATAATTTAAAAACTAAGTGCTGCCTATTGCTGAGACTATGAAATTAGGCTGAGAGCAGCAGGGGATACTTCTGGTGTTGAGGACTTCTAATAATACCGAGAAACCTCTCAATGCTGCCCTTCAAAAGCCAGCTAAAGAGCCCCTTTATAGTAATAGTTTGTCACAATTGCTCTGAGTTTACCCAAATGAACTGTCCATTATTTTAAAGCCATTTAGCTGTTAGCAACTCAATAGCTTCTAAAGCCCCTTTATAGTAATAGTTTGTCACAATTGCTCTGAGTTTACCCAAATGAACTGTCCATTATTTTAAAGCCATTTAGCTGTTAGCAACTCAATAATAGCATTTTTGTCACAATTGCTCTGAGTTTACCCAAATGAACTGTCCATTATTTTAAAGCCATTTAGCTGTTAGCAACTCAATAATAGCATTTGCTCTAGGATCATTCTACAACTGGGTGAAGATAGTTAATTAGAAATTATAACCAAATTCAACTTACCACTTACTATTAGACAGCCAACAACTGAAGAAAAGGAGATGAAGTTCTGCAACCCTACATATCAAGAGGAGATTGGTGGGGGGTGGGGGTGGGGCATTTAAAATCGCACTCCGCTAGTAGCTTACAAGCTGCGGGAGGGCAGAGAAGGGTCCTGTTCACAGTGTCCTCCTAGGACAGGCCCTAGCAGTGGCGGCTGGTGGCCCAGGGCTCGTGCCCCACCCTTGCTGTTGAAGCCTAGGCACCTCAG